TTCTCATCTGTGCTCGTCTCCTCGTCTGTTCTCATCTGTTCTCATCTGTTCTCGTCTCGTCTCCTCGTCTGTTCTTGTCTGTTCTCGTCTCGTGTCGTCTCCTCCTCTCGTCTCGTCTGTTCTCGTCTCGTCTCCTCGTCTGTTCTCGTCTGTTCTCGTCTCGTGTCGTCTCCTCCTCTCGTCTCGTCTGTTCTCGTCTCGTCTCCTCGTCTGTTCTCATCTGTTCTCGTCTCCTCGTCTGTTCTCGTCTGTTCTCGTCTCATGTCGTCTCCTCCTCTCGTCTCGTCTGTTCTCGTCTCGTCTCCTCGTCTGTTCTCGTCTGTTCTCGTCTCCTCGTCTGTTCTCGTCTCGTCTCCTCGTCTGTTCTCATCTGTTCTCGTCTCCTCGTCTGTTCTCGTCTCCTCGTCTGTTCTCGTCTCCTCGTCTGTTCTCGTCTGTTCTCGTCTCGTGCTGTCTCCTCCTCTCGTCTCGTCTGTTCTCGTCTCCTCGTCTGTTCTCATCTGTTCTCGTCTCCTCGTCTGTTCTCGTCTCCTCGTCTGTTCTCGTCTCGTGTCGTCTCCTCCTCTCGTCTTGTCTGTTCTCGTCTCGTCTCCTCGTCTGTTCTCGTCTCCTCGTCTGTTCTCATCTGTTCTCGTCTGTTCTCGTCTGTTCTCATCTGTTCTCGTCTCCTCGTCTGTTCTCGTCTCGTGTCGTCTCCTCCTCTCGTCTCGTCTGTTCTCGTCTCGTCTCCTCGTCTGTTCTCGTCTCCTCGTCTGTTCTCGTCTCCTCGTCTGTTCTCATCTGTTCTCGTCTGTTCTCGTCTGTTCTCATCTGTTCTCGTCTCCTCGTCTGTTCTCGTCTCGTGTCGTCTCCTCCTCTCGTCTCGTCTGTTCTCGTCTCGTCTCCTCGTCTGTTCTCGTCTCCTCGTCTGTTCTCGTCTCCTCGTCTGTTCTCATCTGTTCTCGTCTCCTCGTCTGTTCTCGTCTCCTCGTCTGTTCTCGTCTCGTGTCGTCTCCTCGTCTGTTCTCGTCTCGTGTCGTCTCCTCGTCTGTTCTCGTCTCGTGTCGTCTCCTACTCTCGTCTCGTCTGTTCTCGTGTCGTCTCCTCCTCTCGTCTTGTCTGTTCTCATCTGTTCTCGTCTCCTCGTCTGTTCTCGTCTCCTCGTCTGTTCTCGTCTCCTCGTCTGTTCTCGTCTCCTCGTCTGTTCTCGTCTCGTCTCCTCCTCTCGTCTCGTCTGTTCTCGTCTCGTCTCCTCGTCTGTTCTCGTCTGCTCTCGTCTCGTCTCGTGTCTTCTCTTCTCTTCTCTTCTCTTCTCTTCTCTTCTCTTCTCTTCTCTTCTCTTCTCTTCTCTTCTCTTCTCTTCTCTTCTCCTCTCCTCTCAGATGTTGTGTCTCTGTGCAGCGTGTGCATTTACTCTATTTGCTTTCTGTTAGACACGCTCTAAATCTGCAGCGGTGCACTGAGTGTGTGTGACTGCTGCTGTCCGCCTGCTTCTGTTCCTCTGCAGGGACAGGACGGGGACCATCCTCTCACAGACAGAAATAGCACACCGATCACACGCACGACTCAGGTTACTCAAGAGAATATGAAGCATTCTAAAACACAAGAAGCTCCAACACTCTTACACAAAAGACCATAGTACTGCCTTAAAAATAGACCACGGAAAAGCCTTCATTACACCATATATATTTTGGCCAATACCATGATGGTAATACCATGGTATTCTTTGAATGTTCTTGCTATGCCTTGTCAATGCATGCATGGTATATGAATGACAAAATGTTGTTTTGAGGTATTAAATTGGATTTTTAGTAAGACAAGCGTCACTATTACCATTTCTTACACTTTGCTCTATGCTCTAATTTTTTCTGTATTGATTTTACATAGGTGTTTTACCCATGTTTTGAATTACACATCACATTGTGTTGTGTTTTAGGGTTAACGGAAAAATCCATAAACTATAATGTCCTGGCAGAAAATTACCAGTACCTTTTCTATTTTTCTATAGATTTTGTTTAAACCTATGACATATTTAATATTATAAGAACCCTCCAAATGAACGGTGATGTTAGTATGAGTAACATCAGCATTCATATACTAACAATTGAGAACAGTTGCATGTCTTGACCTGTCCTTGTCCTTAACCTCTCACACTGATCGGTAAACGGCTCAATCAACGGCGACTCAGTTTTCATTCAATTTGCCTGTAAATGAGGCGAGAGAGGATGTAGTTTGACGTCACACAGGTCTATCATTCCATCTCTATCGCATTGCTTTCTTCTGACTCGGCCATTAAACACAATTGTCTTTATCGGTCCATCAGTGAACCACTTAGATCAACACTGCTGGCTCTTCAAATGAGGAAAGTGTGACATCTTCTCCGTGAAGCATCTGGATCAATGAAAGCCTAGGAAAAGCTGTTTGAGGGTATAGATCCACTGGAGGCTGTTTGCAATAGTCTAAATGATGGACAAAGGAACGTTTTTCAATACGTATATGAATCCTTACAGTACAATCCCTCATAATGACTCTGAAAAAGCTCCTGTTTTTGCTACTGTACCTTTAAGAGTTCTAAATGACCTCTGTTGTGATTGATGCTTTGATCTCTGGAAGTTCTAAAATTCTAAAATCTAGTACTTTGAACTCTTTCAAAAGATCAAGGAAAATTGGATTTTTTTTCATGTGACCTCCGTTTAGCAACAATCTTTGAACGCTGTTGACCCAGCGCTGATGCTGAGAGATGCAGCCCACTTTCATGTTGGTATAAAGCTAAACACACAGGCAATTATTCTCACAAGTGTTTGAGGGCGCTTTACAGGTGCTACACACACACACACACACACGCCTGCGTCAGCATGATGCTGCTGTGCAACAGGGAACACACACGACTGCAGTGCGAACGCCTCCGGTCTGACCTGCTTTCTTTGTTGTTTTGCGTAGATCATTAGGCTACTGTTCTCTCTCTGTCTCAGTAAAACACAGTTTGAGGGATGTTTGGCTCGGGAACTGATGGTGGGTTTGGGGTCGTACGTCCCGTGCCTGAAGAACAAACATGGACCCTGTGGATCTGGATCTGAGCAATGAGAGAAAACAAGAACGTGTTTTTACGCTGACATGAGTGTTTCTTCAACAACCTGTTTGGACCTCATAGAAAATACATTTGTTTAAAACACTTGCACACTCTCACTAGTTTAATTCATTTTGTTTTCTAACAATGGATGTACGTTTATCTCAGGATGCTTTTTTCAGCACAATTTTTTTGTAATACATTTTTTTAATCAAATGATATTTACTTTTTTTTAGGGCTGGGCAACGATTAATCGCATCAAAAATAAAAGTTTGTGTTTACATAATATATGTGTGTGTAGTGTGTTATTTTGTATATATAAATACACACTCATGCAGGTATATATTTAAGAAATATTTGCATGTATATATATTTATACATAATTTATATTAAATATAAATATTGACATTTTATATATTAATACAATTTTTCTCAAATATATACATGCATGTGTGTGAATCTTTATATACAAAATAATTATACACAGTACACACACATATATTATGTAAACACAAACTTTTATTTTGGATGCGATTAATCGTTGCCCAGCCCTATTTTATGTTTCATATTTTATCTCGAACATTTCTGTGACTGTTGTCTACTTGGCAACTGTTATTTTAGCAGAATTGAGATACTTTTAGTTTTTATTCATGTTTTTATTTTAATTTAGCTTTCATTTTAATTCTAAATTAGAGTTATAATAATATAATATAATAATTTCCATTTTTATTCGGTTTGGTTTTTTAAAAATATGTCTACATAAATGTTTTATCATCTTTATTATTAAGTATTAATTTGTATTTCAGTTTTATTTAGTTATTTTACTACATCAAGTTAAACTAAATGAAATTGAGCAATGTAGTTTAAAGAAAGCTTTTTATATTTCATTTTATTTCAGTTAACATTTATTTCAAGGAACGAAAGTGTTTTTTTATGTTTTTTTATTTTAAACGATAATATCCCTTTTTTATAGGAGCAACAGCTATAAGGGACAGTTGTAATTTGTGTAAAAATGGCTGTGAATCATTGTCACATAATAAATATTGAAATGGTTTGTCTCTATTTCGCAATAGTTTATCTATTTCACTATTTTACAATTGATATCATCCTGATATAGTCAATATTAACACATTCAATCATTTAAAATGATAATTCATAGCTAATGACCTGTTTTCTTGGGTGTAGTTTGACATTTGTGCATTTGACTGGTGCTTTTATCCATTCAAGATACACATAAAATATATATATATTTAGTATGTTATTCATGCTTTATCAGTGTTAATTTAAGTGTATATTATTTTTGACTACTCTGTTTTAGACTACAGTGATCTGGACTTGGCAAAACATACACTCTAAACAACACTGGGTTGTTTTAACCCAAATTTGGGTCAAATATGGGCAAACCCAAATGTTGGGTTAAAAATGTAATTTAACTTGTAACTTCAACTTTCACTTTCAACTGTAATTTTTTAAATTACATTTTTAACCCAACATTTGGGTTTGTCCGTATTTGACCCAAATTTGGGTTGAAACAACCCAGCATTTTTCAAAGCTTGATCATCAAGAGTGATGATCTTTGTGAGTTGTCGTGTGATTTTCTTTGTCTGTTCTCTCCTGGCCTCGTTTCTCCTGAACATGGAGCGACTGTGATAGTGTCTGTCGTTGAATAGCATTACCTTGGCATGGCTTGTGTCTGTAACTGTTCTGTACTCCACAGGATGATGATTCTTCAGATGTTACTCAGTCTGCTTGTGTTGAAGTCCTGTGAACCTGTGCCTTGCATTTGAAATGCCCGTCTCACAATTGGCAGTCGTACTTTTTGTTTTGTTCGAGTTCAAAGATCGCTGCCATGATGCTACACATCAGTGCATTACTATAGCTAACAGAATTGATGCATCTTTTGGTTTGAATAAAAATCAACCCCTGGGTTATTTATTCTTTTTTCTCTGTGCAGTACAAGCAAGTGGAGCAGTACATGTCCTTCCACAAACTCCCGTCAGATTTCCGACAGAAAATCCACGATTACTATGAGCACCGTTACCAGGGCAAGATGTTTGATGAAGAGAGCATCCTAGAGGAACTGAACGAGCCGCTCAGAGAGGTGAGCTTGTGTTTGCTTATCTGTGTGTTTGCAAAGGTCTGTCAATGTCTGTAAACATCTGTGGAAAAAAAAAAACTCCCAGAAGACCCTGCAGTTGTCTAAGAGCTTTCCGAAACAATAAAACCACGCTGAACCGGGAACAGCTTCCAAACTAATATATGTCACAGTTAACAACTAAATCTCCTCTGTGAATGGCTTCCAGCTCTCACTGTAATGTTGTTTAAGAGAGCGGAACTAACGTTGTGCTATTTGTGTATTGATGTTTAAGTTTGGATATGATCCTTTATGGCTGAATCGCACCAAGAAATGTGAAATGTCACAAAAAAACAATACATATATATATCGAATCAAATTTTTAGGATCGGTTTTACCATTTTTTTGACATTACAAGCATATTATCTTACAAATTCTTATTACCATATGTCTAATAATTTTGTCAAATGTTAAATTTAATATTTCCAATATAATGAATCATAAAAATATATATATATATAATAACTTAAATCTTTTTCTGATATTGGCATAAATTAAATTCAGCAAAACAAATACAAGGCAATAATATACTATATTAATTTTCTCAATGCATATTATTAATATATATATATAGGATTTTTTGTGTTACCTTACAAATTCTCAATTCTGTATTCATTTTCTAAAATTTAAAATTTAATATTTTAAGTATACTGAAAAATAAAAAAATGGAAATATAACTTCAATTATTTTCTGATATAAGTGTAAATTAAATTCAGTAAAACAAATACTAGGCAATAATATACTATATTTTAATATTCTCAATGCATATTAATATTATTATTATTAATATATTATTTTTCAGTATACTTGATATATATATATATATATATATATATAATTATAAAAAAATTTACGTATACTGAAAAACTAAAAGTTTAAATTGTATTTTCTTATTTTAGCATAAATTAAATTCAGTACAACAAATACTGGGCTATTCCCCCATATGTTTTATGTAAACGCTGTGTATGTGCAATATGTGTTTATGTATTTCTCTCACCCTGCGGTCTTTCAGGAAATCGTGAACTTCAACTGCCGTAAGCTGGTGGCCTCTATGCCCCTGTTCGCCAACGCCGAACCCAACTTCGTGACAGCCATGCTGACGAAGCTCCGTTTCGAGGTCTTCCAACCGGTCGATTACATCATCCGTGAGGGAACCATCGGCAAGAAGATGTACTTCATTCAACACGGCGTCGTGACAGTGATAACCAAAGGAACTGTGGGGCTGAAACTTTCTGACGGCTCCTACTTCGGAGGTACAATCCCACTCGTATTAACCTCGTAAATTACATCACTTCACTTAATTAAACTGCTCAAATCCTTATTGAACCTCATAACATTTGAAATAATTTAAGCCAGATATGGTGTGACCTCTTCCATTTTAGTACTTTGCATATTATATTGATGTTAAATTAATTGAACTTTAAAGGCAATCAAAATATTCTGCTCTGGCCTGACATTGATATTTAAATGTCATGATGTCACTGTCATTTAAGCACTTGTTATTCTCTAGCCAGTCTTTCTAGTAACAATGTCACAGTCTTCCATCTGCAACCAGTTCTCAATCTAAAAATTGAATTATAAAATAAAATGTTATATATATTTGATGGTGAAGTGTGTAATTTCTGCACTACCAAATGGAATTGCAAATGATATTTTAGAATTTTTTCCAACACATCCCCACCTGCTATTGGCCAGACAAACAGGAAGCTCCGCCCCTAAATCTGCACAAATCAACAAAACAATGTTTTGAAAGCACCAAAGTGTTGATACCATTCGGGAAATGTTCTTTAAACCAAACCATGAGGCGTATGTGCATTTATGTGCTTTAAAGTCGGGATTTTAAGATGGATTTTGATTGCTGTTGATGTTTTTTTTATCATTGCTGGGGGAAAAGAAATCGCTCTGAAAGTGATTACAATGATATCTTTTCTCTGTGTTGTTTTTGTCAGAGTTGTGGTGTGGATCATATAGTTATTGTTACAGTAACAGTTATCATTCTTAAGGTGCGATCATTTTTGACCATTGTACTGCAAATTTTCATTAGTGAAATCCAGTCATTTCAATAGGAGTCCCGCGATCAGGAATTTTGCGTGAGGGCGAGAAATTTCTCCACACAGATTTCTCTGTGGGTTCAAGTTGGTCACATAAATTCGCTGCGTTGACCAACAAAAAGCTGCTTGGTTAGAAAGTGAATTGTATGTGAGCTGTGCTTCATACATCACTACACTATTGACAATGGACAATTACCTTTTTTGCCGTAATTTCGCTGATTTTAGCTGACCTTTAGTGTGAACGGGCCTTAGGAGCACATGCACTAAGCTTGTCTATCTGTGTGGCAAATAGTACACATTTTAAAAACCAATCAGGACAGATAACTGTAACAGTATTGTTGAAATGTTACATTGCTGCTTGTTTAGACACTGTATTTTCTTGTTAAAGAGGCAATATTATGCCCTAAAATCTTGATTTTGTTTTTGGGCTCTACTTAGAATAGGTTTTTCATTAGGGCTGTAATGATACACGATATAAAATCGAAATCGCGATGTGAGAAGGCAGAATCGCGATCACAACCCTTCCAACTCCCAGAGTTATCCTTCCTGGCCAGATCCAATGCTACCACATCTTTAAATTACTATTATTAGTATTATTTGAAGTTAACATTATAAAATACGTAGACCTACACCACAAAACTAGTTGAGGATAAATTATTTAAAATTTGGCAATTTCAGCGTTATGGACGTGAAATTTGCAGCCAAAACTTGAAATATAAATTCTCAGAAAGTGCATTTAATACCAATATATTGACACTTCTGTTTATATATCCATAGCCTACTCCCTTAATAAAGTCCAGTACATGTCCATACATTAGAAAAATATAAGTCTACACATGCATTTTATATTTAATATGAGGGAAATACACACGCGTACACGGACGCGACACAAAACATCTTAAATTTTTAGGTGGCAAAACTTTTTTTATTTTTTATATATAATTCTGTAAATTACACTGTACAAACCAAAAGTAATAGGCTACTAGGCTACCCATCGGATGAAGGAGGGTTGGCTCTCCCCAGAACATAAAATAGTCATTTTGTTTTATTTTTCGTGTTCGCATTTAAGAGGAAAAAACAATGTCGTGACAGTTCTCTGGAAGCGGCACTAAAACTTTCAGAGACCTCAAACAGAAAAGCACAAAGACTTTCTTTAAATTGAATTTCGTTTTGTATTAATTGTATCTCAATTTTAATAAATGTTTCATCAACCAATTAAATAAGTAGTAAATATAGCAGACAGATAATCACGACACAGAGGGGCCGGCGCGTGAACTGGAGCTCGTCTCATTTGAATCGAAACCCAGTGTATAAGCCTATAGACCTGAGAAGTATATCTACCGGTATATTGAAATGTCTACTTTTAAACCGAACAATTCAAAACGAAAGAAAACAGACTGCTCTCTGCTTATGTAATCCGTATGAAAAGTGCATTTCTCTCTGGCGCGTTCACTACTGCGAAGATCGCGAGTCAGCATCGCAACTTCGTCTTTGCAGCTGACACTGACAGAAAACACTAATAAACAATTAAATGTCTCCTTGCTATATTTGACATATTCATAATCATTACTTTTGCCGGTTCTTTGTGTAAGCTTATAGGTGCTTTATTGGCAGTGCCAGCCTTACGTTACATGAACGCGTCACCTCCGCATCAGCACCGAAAACTGGAGATTTTTTTAGACAATAATCGCACAACCTATTTGATATTCTATAATTAAATACTCAGTGACTCATCCCAACCAACTATTTAAAAAAATTTAACTTGTAAGCGTCTTTTTACATGTTACATATCATGCGAGTCGTGACTAACTTTCCATGTGACGCGAGCTATTTGAAGAACGTGAAGAAACATGGAAATCAACCCAGAGATTGCGGACCCTTCCAATAGCCTACATTTCAGTCAGCAGTATGTCAACATTTCGGCTACACGGTGGAGAACAGGGATGGCAATCGTGTAATCTACAAGACCCACACAATTTGCCGTAAGTGTTTAAATAAGCTTCCTCAATTGACCGGCAACACGTCCAACATGCAGATGCATATCCTACGGCACCATCCCGAAATCAATTTAGTTGGAGCACAGAACACAACCCAAAAGCAGCAGCCTACACTGCCTAGTTTAGTTTAATAATTTGCATAGTTATTATTATTGTTCTTTGGTGTTCAGATTATACAGGTTTTTCCTAATGTTATTTAATAAAAATACCAGTATATATTATTTTTTTCTCTCAAAATCTTTTTTTTCACCCCAAGCCCCGCCCCCGTGACAGAATCGCGATACAAAATCGAATCGTGGGTTTGGTGTATCGTTACAGCCCTAGTTTTCATGCTTGAATGTTCAAAAAACACATTATTTTTGACATATTGTACATTGTTGCAGCTCCTCTCTTCCCATTCTGTCAGTAACGCTCTGTTTAATTCCTATCTCTATGAAGCCCCTCCTTCTTAAAAGCACATTAAGCTCTGATTGGTCGGCTGGAGCAGTGTGTTGTGATTGGTCAAGCACTTCAAGTGTGTTTGGGAAATGCCCCGCGTCTTATAACTGCCAGTTTCAACACACTGCTAACTAACTCAACCAGGCCCCGCCCCTTTATTCTGCGTATGAATTATTGAAATGAGGAATATTGTGACGTGTTCGTTCCCAGAAGAAAACTCAAGACTACAATGGAGGCGTTTCAGGGAGTTCAGAAACACTGACACTGATATAGAGAAGAACTCCCACTGGATTTTGTTTATTTGCAAGACTTTTTTTTATGCTTAAACAGCAACATTACACACTAAAGAAAGCTGAACATGTAATAGGTCCTCTTTAAGTCTCTGAATCCTCTGTAAAGCAGAACTGCAGCAGAAGTCGATTGTATTGTCATGGTTCTGAGCTGGTGGAGAGATCCAGACCCTGGTGAACCCAGAAGTGTGTGTGCTGAGATGTGATGTGCTCTGCTGAGGAGTGAAACACGATCCTTCTGCAGCCTTAAATCCGCATGAGTCAGTCGTTTTTCAGCTGCAGAGGACAGGAGGGTTTGGAAGAGGCTCTCGGCGCGTGACCTTGGAAAGGTCAAAGACAAACCGATGTCTTGTGTAGCCTGAGATAAAGAAAGAAAAGAGAGAAGCCGTCTGATCCTGTGGGCATTGTGTGGAAGGATCAGTCTCAGTTTTACCCGGAGGAAAACTGTATTGCTCTTTTCATAGCTCAGAATTAATGGAGATCTCGTTTCCGTTTCATTTAAGTGTCAGACTTGTTGATGTTTCTCCTGAAATTCATTTGGGAGGGGAAAAAAACAGACACAAACGAGACAATTAACATGCAGCATAGAGCTATCAAATCGTTGTGAAATTTCACTTTATGATCAAATACAATTAATTATATGATATTTTGAATAAAATATACAAGAGTGTTGTATTTTGACATTATTTTTAGAACAAGTAACCACATTTCCCTAAAAATATATGCAAAGCATTACACCACACACACACACACACACACACACACACACAGAATTTGTGACCCAGAACTTTCTTGACAGTTTTCATGTGATTCACACTTTTTTTTTATGTAAATGCGATGTATATGAAATATGTGTTATGTATTATAGAAATTATAGAGCTATATAATGGATATGATACGAATAGCATCTCAGATCATGTGCTCTTGGACAAATTTTATGAGAATCTTTGAGCTCATATTGAGATCTAACTTTTGATTGCACATTAAAAAAAAAAAAAAAAAAAATTCTCCAAAGAAACAACTGAAAAGCAGATATTTCTTTGCTCATCAAAGTCTCCATTTCCTCTCATTTAATCTCATTGTTGTAGAATATTTTTCTTAATGGGTTATAGTAAGCTACTATAAGTGTAAGTGAGGGTGGATTTTAAAGGTGTATAATCAAATGAAGGGACAAATTATATGCAAATGAGGTTTTGTGTCCACAGGAGTGTTTACGTGTGTATGTGTGTGTGTGTGTGTGTGTGTGTGTGTGTGTGTTCACCTTTATGTACCTGTGATTGTAGCTTTAATTTACTGCCTTTTGGTTTGATGAATGACCCCGGCTCCGGATAAACGCTGCTGGAATGACAAAGTTCTCTAAAGTGAACCAAGGTTTCCAAGGTTGTGTATTGGATTTTCTGGATTGATTAGGAAAGCAGACAGGGAAATGGACCATACACACACAGGTCCCTGATGGATGGGTCAGGATTTAATACACAGAATGACACACAGCATCTACGATGAATGATGTTTATTATCTTCTGAGGCTTATGGGTTATTTCTCTCCCATCTTAAGGAACTAGTTGTGTTCCAATATCGCATGAGCTAAATTTAATCCCAGAGAATGTGCACTCTAAAAAATGCTGGGTTGTTTAAACCCAAAGTTGGGTCAAAAATGGACAAACCCAACCGTTGGGTTAAGTCTTATTTTTACATTTTTAACCCAATAGTTGGGTTTGTCCATATTTGACCCAACTTTGGGTTTAAACTACCCAGCATTTTTTAGTGTGTGTGTGATCTTCTAAATATAGACACAAAATAACCTTGAACATTCACCATGAAACAATGAAAATATGATGATTGGGGCTGAGATGTATGACGTATATACGTATATATCTGTGGGATTTTTTTTTTTTTTTTTTACAATGAAAGTCATTGGAGTCAAGTGTTGTTTGGACCATAATAGTTCTTCAAAATATCTTCTTTTGTGTCCCCAGAAGAAAGTCAAACAGGTTTGCAGTGACCTAAGGGTTGAGTTAATTATGACCGATTTTCCCTTTAAAATGGCCATGGGATACGGGAATTTTAATTTTTTTTGCACTGAAATAATTACAAATTAAATTTTTAAGACATGAGAACTTAATAAAGCAAGAATATATTCAGCACTTTATAATAAGCATTCAAATCACATACTTTTGAATGAAGTCTGATAGAGTTTAATTACATTTTGCAGGCATATATTTAAATTCATTCCCTGTTCAATGAAGGACTCTTCAGGGTTTCAGTTTTCGAGCAATTTAAAAACACTTGCCATCTAGAAAAGGTCTCAGAGTCACTTTCCCCTGATGAACGCCACTATCAAGATGTCCGGTCCTTAAATCTTCAGTGTGTGTGTGTGAGTTTGACCGTTTTCCTCTCTTTCAGAGATCTGTCTGCTGACGCGGGGTCGGCGTACGGCAAGCGTGCGAGCGGAGACCTACTGTCGCCTGTATTCTCTCTCCGTGGACAATTTTAATGAGGTATTGGAGGAGTATCCCATGATGAGGAGGGCCTTTGAGACCGTGGCCATCGACCGACTGGACCGCTTAGGTAAGCGAAACCAGAATCACCTTCTGAAGTTTCTCAAAGAACAATAATGTGAACATTTTAACGGCTTAAAGGATTATTCAGGGTTAAACACAGCTTAAGCTTCATGGGCAACATCTGTGTCGATTAGGACTTAACATTGACTTCTCAATAATGGTGGGCTTGTAAAAACAGAACTGAAAACCTGTTAACAGTAATGCACTTGTGTCTTTGACTTCTAATGTAGATGTTTAAAAGGAGAACTTTTAAAGAATATACTTAAGTGTGAATTGAATATGTTTTCTGACACTTGATTGCATGCTATTTCCAATTAATGAAATCAAAATGTATTATAGTTTGAATTTATATTAAATGCAATTGAGTTGAATTAGTTGTAAGTAAGTAGGACTTAAGTACATCTTTATATCTAATTTCATATTTCTATTTTCTTTGAAATATGTTTGAAGTACTCCTGAACACTACCAAATGTGATTTAATATCATAATGAAACTTGTATGTCATGTATTTAAGTCTTTATTTAATTACTTGTAATGATGAAGTTGCGGTTTAGTACATTTAAAATACATAAACTTTAAGCAATGCAAAAAAATTATTAAAACACAATTATTTAAAATATACTTTTAAAGAAAAACTTTTAATTTGACATTGTTACTTTACTTCTACGAAAGTGTGCTCTCTTTAAGTACTCTTAATTTCATTGCAGTTTTTTACAATTGTTAGGACACATTTCTCAATACCTAGGTCACAACATCAGTCGTTGTGGCCTAAACTATGAATCATTTATCATTGCTTTGGCACAAAATGCAATCAGTGACCACATCTTTCAAATCACATGAATTAATTTCTCACTTGGACGGAAACACAGTCAATGTACCTCTGTGTACCTACAGGCCAGTTTGCATGTTTACCTCCGTTTTTCAGAACTGTTAAACTTACATTCAAAACCTAACATAATACAAAACTGAATAAGACAGCAATTTGCTACATTTCTAGTAGTACTACTAACATATTGAAATATATTCCAAAACTAAAAAATGAAATACTATTAAAACAATTACATGTAGCTGAACAGTAATACAATACAATAATACAAAATGTTCAATTCAATTCACGTTTATTTGTATAGCGTTTTTCACAATACACAGTTTCAAAGCAGCTTTACAGAAAATGCATGAGTCCACATAACAATTTAGAGTGATCTGTTATCAGAGAAAACTGTCTAAGTTATGTTTCAGAAATGTACATATACAAAATCACAGTTAGCTAAAAATTTATTAATTAGGGCTGTCAAACGATTAATCACGATTAATCGCATCCAAAATAAAAGTTTGTGTTTACATAATATATGTGTGTGTACTGTGTATAATTATTTTGTATATAAATGCACACATGTATATATTTAAGAAACATATGTTATTTATTAGGGGTGTGACGAGACGCTTATCTCACGAGACGAGACTAGACACGAGATTGGGTTCACGAGAACGAGACGAGACGAGATTTTTGCACAATTTTTCAGAAATCCTCAATGACAAAATTCATGGCTGGAAAAATAGTATGCAGGTGCATTTTTCAATGTTTTAACTAATAATCTTCTAATGCATGTCATTTCAGGTCTACTTTATGAGTATGAATTATCAAATGCATTGAAAGAAAACAATATTCAAGCACTGTAAAAGGTTTTTATTGACTGGCTTTTCTCCTGTATAATTTCACATTAGTCTCTTCAGACCTTACTGTACATTTAAGAGCTTTCAGAACTTCTGATTGAGGCTGTGTGTGACCTCCTAACTGAACTCCTTCTAACACACATTTAACAGAGAAATAAAAACCGTATAAATAACAAAAATAAATAACTGTTTTCTCTTAGTCTTATTAAGTGCAAACAATAAGTGCGAGTGCAACCATAATCAAAGTTAGCACACAGACTCTTTATAATTGTTGTGAAATTGCGGTTTTATTTTGCACCGGCAGTTATAGGGTTAATGCGGTGAGTTCGGAAAAGGCCGAGAGAAACGAGGCTGTTTGTCTCTACAGTTGTTCTTACGTTCCGATTATAAGTTCAGAAACGGAGCCTCCCTTGTCTGTTGTCCTTTGTACGTTACAGTGCTCTCTCAATATTCGCAGTGCCAACAGAGACCAGAGCCGCAAATAAACAGTCCAGAGATGGGTATTGGGAGACGGATTATTTTATGTATGCAGCCTAATTTGTGCGCAATGCACATCAGGGAGCTTGTGTTTTACTTTCACTTACAAATTCGTGACCGCGCATATAGGGAGCAGCGGTGCTGAGCGCGCATTCTAAATGATAAGACATTTACCAGACGTTTAGTCTGTTGCGCAACGAATCCTCCGCCATCGTCACGCGATCAGTGAACTGTGATTCGTGCTGCACTGATTGCAACAGCAACTCGCGCTGGATGAGCAGAGCAGACTTTTGCATTAGTTTATAATGGTTTTTATTTTTTTATAAAAACAACAAAACGATAGTTTAGGCGAATGTGAGTGTAGCGGTGGAATATTAATGGGGATATCGCGAGACAGCTTTTTCACTCGACGAGAAATCTCGTCATATTTAGTCTCGCGAGATCTCGTGGCACGAGATCTCGTCACACCCCTATTATTTATATATAAAATGTTTATATTTATAGAAAATATACTTTATATATAGGCTACATTCAGTCTATATACAGTATACATGCAAATATTTCTTAAATACACATGCATGTGTGGGTATTTATGTATTAAAAATAATTATACACAGTACACACACACATATTATGTAAACACAAACTTTTATTTTGGATGCGATTAATCGCGATTAATCGCTTGACAGCTCTTAATTTAAATAATTTAAGGCCGAAACAATGAGCTCACTGAAGTAATGAATACTTGTTTGTTAACAAATGATTGTGACATTTAGAAGAAAAAAAATTCATCTCTCGTTACAGGAAAAAAGAATTCCATCCTAATGAACAAAGTGCAGCACGACTTAAACTCCGGCATCTTAAACAACCATGAGAACGAGATGATCCAAGAGATCGTGAAGTACGACCGAGAGATGGTGAAGCTGATCGATCAGCAGCGCCCGCGTGCCATGTCCATGACGCCCTCCATCCCGCCAGGGATGTTTGCTCCGCCTGGCCATCCACAGGGCAGCTCTGCCATCGCCTCTCTTCAGCAAGCTGTAGCGATGAGCTTCTGTCCGCAGTTCGGTGGCCCTATGGTGGGTCCGAGCACCTTGCAGTCGCCCAGGATGGTCCGACGGTTCCAGGTTGTGCAAAGCCTTGCCAGCCCGGTTTCGGCTTCTCCTCAACAGTCTCTCCCGCCGCTTGGCGCGTTCGCTGCCGTTGCGATGGCCAGTCCGCCGGTGCAGAGTCCGCTAGCAGCGGCAGGCGGGCGAACTTTCCAGTACGGGAGTGGCCCGATGGGTGCGCGCTCCGGATCTCAATTGTCCCTCATCCAACAGCATGCTCCCAGTCCCACACGGCCCAAAGGATCCCAACCGTCGCACCAAACAGGCAGCTTGACCCAGGATGATAGAGCCCTGTCTGCTTCACAACCCTCCCTGCCACAAGATGGCGCCCCACCCGTCGTGCCCAGCCCGCCACCGTCGACCCGCGTGTCCTCAACATCGATCGGCCCACCTCATCCCGCCATCCCGGGGCCTTCCGGTGTCCGGAGCGCATTGCATCAGAGAATGGCACTGCCACACCAGGCGTCAGCAGCCGTGTCTGGGATTTACCCGTCCACAGCGCCTCCTACAGGCACTCCCCCCGTAACGGGACCGGACTCGGCTATACGCAAGAAAGATTCCATAGTCAGCCTTCCCGAGACGGACTTCACAGCCAGATCCCGGCTCTCGTCCAACCTCTGACGAGGACTCTGAGACTCTTTGCAATACTTTTTTGTGAGTCAAAGTTAGTTATTTTTGCTCGAGTACCGCGCTCGTAGGATGGCTTTTCATAGGAACCAAAGGGACAGACTTAAGGTGCGGTCACATTTACCATTGCTCTGGGGAAATTTCAAGGGGCGAAATTTATATTTATGCATCTAGCAGATGCTTTTATCCAAAGCGACTTACAAAAGAGAAACAAAAGCAATTGATCAATGTTCTTAATATGCAATGCCAGGTTTAATTGACAACTAGATTAGGAATCAAGCTAGAGAAGAGAAGTGCATTGGGTTTGAGGGTGTGGGATTGTTTAGTGATTGCAGAAGAGGTGTGTCTTCTGCTTATTGAAAGATGTGATGATTTCAGCAGTTCGGGTTGGCCGCTAATTCCACCGGAGAGGGTGAAGGTTTTGGAGAGAGTGAAGGAACAGTGAGGCATCACTCATTTAATGACCTTAGCTGGTGGGAGGGAAGAAATTGACCCATCATTTGACTTCCCAAGCAGATTTGACTCATTTTCAAGTTGGCCACTTGAATTTACCACACTGGCTTCTTGGTTTGGAAATGAGTTCTCTGTGAGCCGTGCTTTATTTGGCCCATGAAATATCACTAATGTGACCGCACCTTTACCGCTAATAGATTTAACATGTCCTCTACAGATAGATTCACAAGGTCGGATGCCTCGACTCGACCCGCTAGTGTAGCTAGTGCCGCCCCTGTACAGCTTCTGATGCCTCTTGATATATTTGTCTCTATCGTCCCGAGTGAAGGGGGGAAATCCTGTCGTGTGTTACATGGTGTTTTCCGTAGAGTTCGTTCAATGCAATCGGGGCGACTAGAAAATCAGGGACTTGCAAGAGATGACAATGATGAAATCTGACGCTTTGTGAACGTGTTTTTCCTTCTTTCTGTATAAGCTCTACTTGTAGCAATCTAATTAACTGTCTTTCACTTTGTTGTAAAATATCAATGAAAAAAAAAAAGTATTATGGACCGCTGGTCGATCTTATATCTTAATGTAAATAAGAAGGGAAAAAAGGGAAAAAAAACAACAACAACAAGAAGTTATAATAGAAAACACACAAATTGTATTTACTCGAAAACCAAAGTTGAGCTTGAACACAAGTTTTGGTTGTGTCTGTGTCAACTGAGAAAAACAAGTCAAACTAAAACATTCTCTATTTAACTGCCTTGATTCCGAGTTTAGAAGCCATATACATGGTTCGTGTGTGCGTGCGTGTTGATTTGTGCACATATGCTTATTATTGTGTTTTATCGAACGGGAGTGTAATGCTTGCGTTTTTGCGACGTTTCGTAAAGGCAATACTTCACTGCATCGGGGTTGCACTGACAGTTGAGACTTGAATGCAATGGGTCTTTAGCAGAACTCGTTTAAATTAGCAGGCAAACCAAAATAATCATGCTGTTTTCTGTGATCCATGTTGATCTGTACATGCAATATAATTCTGCAATATCCTTGCCCTGCCTTTTATATGAAAGCTTCATATCGCGGCGTAAGCAATTTAATCTGCGTTTTTCAGAGAAGAATGTTTGAAACCTCATCTTTTAAGGCACTGGATAAGGTCGTGCAGCTTTCGCTATATGTTATCAAATTTGTCTTTGTTTTCTAAAGTTTAGTGGTATTTGTCACAGTTGTTTGTTTCAGTGATGAAAACGGGTTTTGTAATGTTTCATGGTTCTTTATTGATTTACTTTTTTATTGCTGGGAAGGACAACCGTCACAATAAAATAAAAAAGTCACAATTTTGAAAGTCAGTTGAGGTCAGAAAGGTTGGTTGTTCCGGCGTAGACCTTAAAAAATAGTAATATTTACTTAAAAAAACTGAATATTATCTCTATAATGTAATAGTATTGTAAAATATAATATCTTCTATATCTATTAATTTATTCTATATTTGACAGTTTAACAGTGGCATTTTTATAACATTGCGTGTTCTCCCATTGTCGCAAAAATAGATTCTGATTTGCACAAATTACTGAGTATCTAAAACATGCTGCATATTAATGGCCTGTAAACGTAATACACAGTTTGTGCGTGGGCTCAGTTTGCAGGCCTGTGAGCGCTGGCTGAATTGTGGATTTGTTGATTGCTTGCGAACAGATGTAAACTATTGGGTTGATTTACGAACTTGTCTCTTTACAAGAATGTAGTTCGTTTGTGTTCGTTTCATTGTCAACTGCTGCAGATTTTTCTCACTTGAACTTTGAAATTGTAAATATGACGCTGTAAATTATTTTATGTGCAAACCCGGGCGGTAACCTAGGAAAAAAACAACAAAAAAAATTATTTTAGAAAAACAAAAATGAGATTGGTGCATAATGGGTTTTGAATGTATGCCAAATGGCATTAATGATGTGACCTGAATATTAACAACTGCCATGTAAATAGATCAGTAATAATTCATGCAAAATGGAAATTGTGTGTATTTGCTGATTGTTTGTAGCGATCACGTCCTAAATACTTTAATCTGATACGTCTAGAATGCTTTTATTTTTCTAAGTCTTGTTTCTCTGACGGTGGTCCAAATGTGGATCATCGTAACACAAAGCACACTGTGTCCCATTATCGCCCTCTATAGGACAGGTATCACCACATTCCCGGGATGCACTGAATGACTTTTTGGGATTAAAACAGGCAGCTTAATCTATTAAAACAAAACAAGCAAACAAACAAAAGTTTATCAACAAGATTCCCTGAAACAACAATGCATTGATTACTATCGATGGTCATCTTTTGCAAGCCTGCATTTACACTGCTAACCAATTCTGATTTTGTCTCAATGATATGCACAGATCAGATCATGTTGCATACATGTTTATGCAAGAACACAAACGGAACAGATCGTATTTTCTACGGTCTCTCTTTCAAATGTGGTTCTGGATCTATTATATACTAGCCTGGTCCTACCTGACTCTCGTACACATTTCATTTGTACAGAGAGTCTGGCCACTCTCCATTGACAAGCGTTAAAGGGTTAGTTCACCCAAAAATGAAAATTCTTACCCTCATGTCGGTCCAACCCCGTAAGACTTTCGTTCATCTTCGGAACACAAATCAAGATATTTTTGATTAAATCTGAGAGCTGGATCACTCCTCCATAGGCTTCTTAAGGGATTGAAACTTGCCGGCCCAGAAAAGTTAAAGACATCGTTAAAATAGTCCGAGTGACTACAGTGGCTCAATCTTAAGTTTATCAAGCGACGAGAATACTTTTTGTGCGCAAAAAACAAACAAAAATAACGACTTTATTCAACTATTCATTTCCTTCTCTGTGGGCCTCGAGATTTCACGTAGTGTAACAGCGCAGCGCTTCTGTGTTGTACGTCACACACACACACACACATGACCAGCGTCGGCCAATAGTGAGCCTGTGTGTGACGTGCAACACAGAAGCGCTGCGCTGTTACACTACGTGAAATCTCGAGGCCCACAATAGTTGAATAAAGTCGTCATTTTTGTTTGTTTTTTTGCGCACAAAAAGTATTCTCGTCGCTTGATAAACTTAAGATTGAGCCACTGTAGTCACTCGGACTATTTTAACGATGTCTTTCATAACTTTTCTGGGCCGGTCAATTTCGATCACTTAGAAGCCTATGGAGGAGTGATCCAGCTCTCAGATTTAATCAAAAATATCTTAATTTGTGTTGTGAAGATGAACGAAAGTCTTACGGGGTTGAACAACATGAGGGCGAGTAATTACTGACAGAATTTTCATTTTTGGGTGAACTAACCCTTTAACTTCCTTGAAGGCGGGTACTCTGTTGAAGTTTAAAACTATTGGATCTGCCCAGAGTCACTCTGGATCTGCCATAACCAATCGCTGACATTTGGTCGTGACGTATGACGACTCAAACTAGCGCACGACATCAACGTCATCGTTCTCAGCCACTCCCTCTGTTCGCTGATTGGACCGGTAAAAAATTGATCGGAGAAAACCCAAGAATATACAGCAAATCCAGACGTAGTACTGAAGGAAAATGAAAATTGAGCGGAAGAACGTAAGAGGGCGGAGCCAGGCTACTTATATACTGTATCTGGATGAAATCTAAACACTTGTATCCAATGGTCTGATATCATCACTTGGTGCTTAGCTAAGGAATAGTTCACCCAAAAAAATAAAAAATGTGGGATTAATTACTCACCCTCATGTCGTTCCAAACCCGTAAGACATTCGTTCATCTCCAGAACACAAATGAAAAGATTTTTGTCCCTCTATTCAAAAGGTTCATAAAGAGATTGTAAAAGAAATCCAAATGAATTGAGCGATTTAATCTAAGTCTTCTGAAGAGACGGAATAGATTTCATTTTGGCTTTTATTCACATATGACTTTCAATGGAGGGACAGAAATCTTCATTTGTGTTCCGAAGATGAATGAAACTCTTATGGGTTTGGACCGTGATGAGGGTAAACTATTCGCATAGAGTGAATGTAAACATTTTGGATCTGTGCATTAGGCGTTGCAGTGTAAATGCAGCACAACACCGTGTCTACACTGGAAATGCATAAATAAATTAGATGACCAGATAACAGAAACATAATCACAAACTGGCTTTGATGCATTCGTCAAAAAATTCAATATATATTGACTTTTATGCATTTGGCAGATGTTTGCAGATTTTTTTACAAAGAGGCTTACATTGCTTTTAAGGCATACATTTGCTCAGTTCATGCATTCAATGGGAATTGAACCAATGACTTTGGTGTTGTGTTGCAGAGCCATGCTGTACTGTTTGAGGAACAGGAATTTAACCCTTTCCCCGCCAGCATTTTCTTTTTTTAAAGTTGCCAGCCGCCACCAGCATTTTTGATCATCTTCACAAATCTTCATGGCCCCCAGAATATATTGTTCTATGAATATCTGAATATGCAATATATATATATATATATATATAAAAAAACATGTTATTCTAGCAACATGCATTCTTTTTTATCAACACTTAAATGTGGGTATGTTTCATAAAAAAAGCAAAAAGCTGAGAAAATTGCGTTTTTGTCAAAGACTTTCGGACAGATGGGATTCAGACAATGATCAACGCACAGATAGAGTAGACGAGTCCATCAACACCATCAACGCTTCTCAGTCCTATAGCTCGTCCTGGGTTGGCATTTCATTCGCTAACGTCAGGCAGTTTTGATTTATATGTCGTTTAATATTTGATAAT